GTCGCGGACCTCGGCCTCGCCATGACCCTCGGCGGCGGCTCTTCTGTTGGTGCCGCCGCTGCTGCTGCTGCTTCCACTACAGAGGGAGCACGTGTTGTGCAGCAGAGCCTGACGCCAGAGTGCGCGCTGGCGATGCTCTTCCCACCGGAGCCGCTGCGGGTGACGACGCCGCGGCACGCAGAGAAGGACGCTGCGCTGAGCGGCACTGTCACTCTACGTGGGCCCGACACGGGGTGGATGAAGGTTGCGGCGATCGACCACACCGGTCGCCTGGACTCGGTGCATCTGCAAGAGCACCTCGAGCGCCGCTGCCGCGAGGAGCACGCGCGCCCTTCCGGTATTGTCTGCCCAGTCCGCGAAGGGATTTACACCGACGGCCTGCGCGAGGCGATCCGGCAGACAACGGTGCTGTGCCCGGAGCGCGGCCTGCTGCTTGCCGAGCTCTCGGCCGAGATGCAGCAGACGACGAACACGTACGACATTCTCTTCGACAGCGCCTGCCAGTACGCTGTGCGCAAGGCGATTGAGCGCGACCTGCGCAGCGATCTTTTCGTGGAGAAGGAGCAGCTGGAGAGCGAAGTACGTCGGCTTGAGAACCGCGTGAATGAGCTGCGCGCAAAGCACGATGGCATGGTGAAGCGGTTCGAGGAGCAGATGCAGACGGAAGTGAATATGCACGAGGAGGAGGTGAAGTACCTCAAGAAGGCAAACCAGCAGATTGTCAACGAGATCAAGCGGCTCATCGCGTTAGAGAAGGCAGGCGCGACGGCGCAGGCGTCCGGGCAGAAGCCGGCATAGTTGCGGTCGCATACACACACATATTTATATATATGCCTGTGTGTTTGTGTGTGTATTTCGGTTTTGTGGCGCGGGCGGCGTACGATTGGCCGCATGTAAACAACAAGAGTGCACAAACTATGCACAGCAGCGATGTCGTTTTTATTTTGCTCTCTTTCTCTTGCTGTGTGTACCTGTGTATGTGTGTGCGTGTGTGTGTGTGTGTGCCTGGTCGCTTGCATAGATGTGTGGGTGTGTGGGTGTTTCATAATGGTGTTTCGCTTTGGCCCCTGTGGTGTTNTTTTTATTTTGCTCTCTTTCTCTTGCTGTGTGTACCTGTGTATGTGTGTGCGTGTGTGTGTGTGTGCCTGGTCGCTTGCATAGATGTGTGGGTGTGTGGGTGTTTCATAATGGTGTTTCGCTTTGGCCCCTGTGGTGTTTTGCGTGTTCTTGTGTACCTCGCGTCTCCCTCTGTTTCTGTTTGCTTGCGTTCCCCCCGCGATGGTTTCCCTGTGTGGCTGCTAGTGGCACGTGGGGGTTTCGCGTGGGCGCCGACAAGGAAGAAGCGGCACAGCAAGAGCAGGAAGGTGCGGGTGGGGGGAGAGAGGCGTGCACAACAGCCAGCGGCACCCCGAGTGCTGTTTTCTTGTTGCCTCGTTGTCTCCGCTCGCTCTCTTCTTGGGCGTGCCCCTCGGTGTGGGCGGCGGTCGGTTGCGTGGGTGTGCGGTGGGATCATCTCCTCCGCGCCCTCGCCCGCTGACACAATCACACGTGCACGCACACACGTTCTTTCTACATATATATATATATATATATATCTAACTGCGCATGTCGTGGATTGTCGTTGATGACAGCGCGAAGGGGAGCATCGGCTCCTCCACCGCCACACTCCGCGGCACACACCGCGCCTCCTCAATGCGCAGCAGGAGCAGTACCGCGACTGCATCCACAGCATCGGCAATGCACATTGGCAGTGCGGCGCAGAAGCAGCAGCAGCGGCGGAGAGCCAGCAGCAACACCAGGAATGGTGCAAGTGGGAATGGCAGCAGGCACGTGGATGCATCGAAGCGGTTGTTGGGCAGTGGAGGGCGAAAAGTCAGCAGAAGAAAACACACGCATGCCGTTCAGGCCTCAAATGAGGCCTCACACGCAGATGACGCACCACAGCAGCAGTATTTAGGCGTAAAGACTGAAGAAATGGAGTTGCTGCAGCACGCCCTTGATGGGGCATGGGGTAAATTTGGTGAGGCTCGGGTACTAACGCAGCAGAGATGCTTCCAAGATGCATGGAAGGCGCTCATGGAGGCAAAGCAGCTCATTGATCGAGCTGCGGGCTCCAGCTGCTGTATCACTCGCCACTACCAGGCGCTGGTACAACTCGGCCACGAACTCAATGCAGCTACTCAGTCGTGGCTGCTGCGAGAGCAACCGGGTCAGGAGCAGGCGCCGACGAAGCCTGCCATGGCGTACAGCTCCCTCGCATCTGAGACCACACGCGCTCCACCGCAGCACCAGCAGCATCCTATGGGGAGCACAGGGGGGGTGGAGGAGGCGGAAGCAGAGGAGGAACTGCGGCTGGAGCAGAACGACGACACGATAGCGCACCAACACCCTGTGGAGGCGTCCGTCTCCATGAAGATTCGTGGCAAGAACACGAACATATATCTCGGCTGCGACAACTGCGAAGACGACGGTGTTGCGGTCACATGCCGTGTGACACCGTCGAAAGCATCACGGTTCGCACCCTCGCGTCTTCGGGACGTGTGGAATTTGGTGTCGCCGAAAAGTCCCCCACGGCTCTACGATGCTTACGGCAAGCCGGCAGCGAAGTTCAGTGATGGCATCGTGACTCCTGTGAATGGTGCGAACGGGCGGGGCGTATTGAGGAGTTCCTCCTTTAGTCTCTTTCATCCGTCTGTCCCCACAGAGGCGATGTACGTTTTGCGGCGGCAGAAGCAGGAGCAGACGGAGACAGAAAAGGAGGAGGAAAGCCATCCACAACAAAGGTCCCAGCAGCGAAATCCATCGCCGCTGTCACCACGGCCCTTGCCGTCACCGCTACAACAACAACAACA